CCCCAAAACCCCAAAACCCCAAAACCCCAAAACCCCAAAACCCCTAACAATATAAATAAACTTGAAACTTTTCACGCAGAGAATATTAAAAAATGGAGCTATAGCTATTTTAATTAGAAACTGGATATACAATCGGAATGTCTTAGTCCTCGTCACTATCTTCATTTTGTTTTAAATGGAAGAAACTTGACTTTTTCTTCTGAGATTGTTTTGATATACATATGTTATCTTCAGAGTTCTCCCTGCGGAATCTTTGAGCTTGATATACAGGACTAGGATTAGAATTGTCTTGATTTTTATTATTATTTTCTGAATTTTGGCTTTCATCTTCGCTGACTGACTCATAATTCTCAGTGCCACCTTTGACTTTTGCAAAGGCAGAAGTCTTTATGTTCTTTTTGAACATTGGATTGCCTGCAGCATCAAAGGACAGGTCCAGAGAAGATACTGAGACATTATCATTAATCGAGGCCATGTCTGATCTAGAGGAATAAGAACTATTCGAGACTACATCACTCTCTGCTTTCCGTAGCTTCAAATTTGGTGGCAATAAAGGCTTTGTTAGTGAATATCCTACTGAAGTTGAGCTATTACACTTGCAGAATGAACTATCATCATGAGAAGGCTTTTGATTCACCTGGTTTAGCCCTGTGAATCCTCCCATATAAGATGGATTACTACCTGTTGTGTCTGAGTTGTGGGAGGTAAGGTCTAACTTATTAATACCAGATGGCATTGCACTTATTGAGTTTGAACGGACATGTTTATTAGACTGCTTCATATGTGGAGGTATACTGCTTAGCTGACCTTCAAAGTTTCCATAAATGTTTCCTCCGAAACCTAGATTAGTTTGTGAATTATTAGCATTCATCAAACTCATTTGAGCAAAACTCTGAGCGAGGTTGTTAGGGTCATACATCCCCATGTTCTGGTTGCACAGTAAGTTCATCCCTGGATCGCTGCCAAACCATGAATTCGATCTCATGTGCGATGAGTGCGCCTGAGGCTGCCCAAAAGCTCCGTTGAAGTATGCTGGGTTCAAATTAGCATGACCTCCTCGGAACCCTGCGCTGGCTCCCGCACCCTGAGCCCCAGTGGTGACCAAGTTGACGAAGTCTTGGATCTGGCCAGGACTTATCTTCATCGAGACAAGCTTCCTGATGATGTACTTGTCGCCCTTCTTCGGGCTGGGGCCTGTTTGCTGCTTGGCTTCTTCGTCCATATCTGCTCCGAAGGGCTGGCTGTTCGGGTCTGTCTGGCTGCTCAATGGCACCGGAACATTCTTCTCGATGCGTTTCTTATTGAGGTACTCCTGGTACATTTCGTGCATGTACTGGGACAAGTAGATGGTGAGTTCTCGCTCAACATCATTGGTCTTCAAGTCGTTCGTGACCTTTTGCTTGCGTATTTTTCTAATGACTTTGCGGATGCTCGAGTAAAAGTGGTTCTTGACTGCATTGTCATTTCTGCCATCAAGTGATTTTGCAATCTCAGTCCATTTGTTACCAAAGCTCTTATGTTTGGAGATGAATATGAGCTCTTCTTCTGGCTGCCAAGGACTTTTGTTGAGTCTGGGGTCAACATTGGCCCTCCAGTTATCATTTTGCTGTGGGAGGGCTTGAGGGAACACGGGGAATTGGTAATTTTGGTTCATAGAGTTGGGGTCCCAGTTGTACCCAGCGGAGGAAGGCACAGATTGAGACATGTATAAGTCATTATTTATATTCCCTTGTGTAATATTATTCGACATTTCTAAAATATTTTTATTGATTTTGGCTTATATTTTCATTTCTCAAGTTTTAAAAGGGGTTTTGGGGTTTTGGGGTTTTGGGGTTTTGGGGTTTTGGGG